GAACAAAACTAGTTCTAAACTAATTGCAGCAGCACAAGGTATGGGGCTGGAGAGTCTTTCCGCAAAGTTTAAAGCTCATCCAAGTGTCCCTTCTTCAGCCACACTTGCTGCTGCAAAGGAGGTGTACCTAACTGGGTAGTTACCAGGTGCTTCTGCCTCCAAAATTCATGTGCAAATCTGCACAGATTTGTTTGAAACTCCAATTTAAAAACTTAGTTCCTTCTTGGAATAGTCAGTAGATATTCGTGGCTTCAGGCAATTTTAAATATTAGCAATTCAGGAGTCAAATGCATGTAAACAGATAGAGGGATTACACAATATTCATCTATTTTCCGGTGAAAGACTGAAAATAGGTTCGTCAAGTTCCACAGAAAACTGCAAAGGATGCTTTAGTTAACGGAAAGCCGATTAAATCTCGGTATATCTGGTCTCCCTCTCAGATCGCTCAGGCCTGCTGAATAACTTCAGGAAATAAACAATACATGATATTCCATATCTCAATTTCCACTCTCTAAAGTAGGATGGTGTATTCATAAGTGCTGCAGATAGAAAATCCATTAAAAAGGAGAACGCAAACCGAGGCAGACAGCTACTTCAATATTCTGCTGCAGGTAAAATGTTCAAAATTACTAACACTTTCTACAAATACACGGCAGCAGTTACCTCTTGCTCTGACACCAAACCTTCCCAACAACAGACTGTCAAAAAAAACAGATCTAGAAGAAGCACGAGGAAAGTTAAGGTCATACATTTTCAGTTTCCAACGGTGTTTCGCTCAAGCACAAGGATCTTTTTATTTAGCTTCACGCAACAAAATGCAACAGTGGGAATTATGCTGATGATCAAATTAATACCCACAGCTCTAAGCTATTCTTTACCAGTCATACATCATAATATAAACATCTGGAGAATAAGCATCTATGCCAGCATGTGAAATAAAAAAAAACAAACCCACAAGCCAGCATTTGACTGGATTATGTAGCACTGACTCTGCTGAAAAATAAATGATTGCAAGGAAATAACCAAGTGTGCCTCTTTTTAATTTAAAAATCTCAATGAGCTCAGTGAGCAGAACCTCTAACAAGAACTAAAGACAGATTTATTTCATCATAGAAACACCTGCCGCTATTGTGCCAACCTGCTTGCTGTGAAGAGTACAAGTATACCGAGAAAGGTGTCAGCGGAGTGTAAAACGGCAATTGTCAGAGCTTGAAAATATATTATGCCAATTTTAAGCGCTGCTTGAAGGAATATAACAAGAGCAGCAGCTTTGCTTGTATTTACAACATGCAAATCACAAATATACAAGCTGTATTCCTATGAACAGTCCTTAGAAAAGTAGCTTTAATGCGGCAGAAGTGACTATGATACATTAGCCAAGCAGGTAATGATTGTCAAGTACATCTTTCCTTCTTCGTGTAAGAGACTGGGAGCTCTTTAGTCTAGCAAAAGGTTAATTCGAGGGAATAATCTTTGAAATAGCTTATATCAAAGGCTTTACTAACATCTGTTGATCAACAATCAGTTGGTACAGAAAGCATGGAAAGAATGATTCGTAATTTGTCAGATCTTTTCAAGTCTGATTACATTGAAGTAATACGTAACTGAAAAAAATTCTCCTCTATTCAAGTCCTTTGCGGTACTATAATTATTTCTGTATTATTTTATGTTTTTCATAAAAGCTAGTGTTTAAAGGGATACTGAATTTGCTGGGCAAAGCAAGCGCTAGGCAGAGCAATTTTGCTTACAAGCCTAATAAATTGTTGTTCCACAAAGGCAGGTTTGTAGTGCTTCTGCCACACAGTGTTCAGAGAAGGAACACACCCAGCCTTTGCTCCCTATTTACCTTCATCCTTATTTAAAAACACACAGAACAAAGAAATTCTACGGATTTAAGTAGTTTGGGGGTTACTTAAAAAAATATTCTCAGCAAGGAATTTTTATCTTGCACGCTGACAGCCATGGCTTTAAAGGGTGCAACCTATTTGGCACAGACCAAGTGATGGTGTAGGTACTGCTGGTCAGGCAGAGTGACAACATCTAGGGCCCAGCGGTGTTCAGGCGTGCTCTCAGTAAACACAGGAGGAGGTAGAAGAGGGGGGAAAAAAAACCCCAATAAATCCTTATACTCTTCTTGAGCATTCTGACTCACCATCTCTTATGGAATTGTACTGATTTTAGGAAAGCTGGGAAATTGGTCAGTACGATAACCAGATGCTAACATCCCAGATGACGTGTACCCGGTGGTGTTTCCACAGGAACAAGTAAATGCTAAACCTGGTGGTAACTGGGGGGAGGGAATGGGCAAATCTTGCATGTCTTCATGGAAACTGCAGCACAGAGCAATGGCAAGAGTCACCAGCACTGATTTTTCAACGCGGGAGTTCTGCTGAATAACCCCCAAAATCCATCTGTAGACTTCACTTCAGGAGATATCTCAAAGCACTACACTCGGGTCTTTTGAGAAGACTGGTTGAATGTAAACCTGATAGCAGTTACCAGTATCCCTTCATTCACAGAGATGACATTTCTAAACCTACTCTAATTAAAATACTTATATTTCACGGACATAAAAATCAACAAGCATTTTGATTGACCAAAACATGATGGGTCTAAATCAACTTTTCTCTTGGCATTTTGACTTTTTGCGTTGTATTCTGTAACTATTCCTCACTAGGTCCTGCCTGACTTAGCTCACAGCCACTCAGGCCCTCTCACTGGATTGGCTGTCAGTGGAAATAAAATACGCTTCTGTATTTCCATGAAATTAGAGAAAACCAGGAAGGGCTGATTCCCTGTCCTTTCTATAACATTCACTTCTCAAGCAAGAGCAACAAATCCTACATTTTAAATTATTCATGGGGTTTTTAATGCATTTATATTACGGAATGGACCCCACACTGTAGGTGGGCCTAAGTATCCAGTGCACAGGACTAGGGCCTAAAATCATACTGCTATATATGTACCTCAACCAAACATCTGGGATTGTTTATGTGTAGCGGATAGAAAACATATAATTGATTTCTGTCCACAGCAACAGCAGAAACAGCCTTATCTCTGTCATCTTTAACACTGAGATTCAGATCTTCCTTTGCTTTTGAAGACAGGTCTTAAGTGGCATCACCACACTCCAGACATAAATTAATTCCTACTACAACCATCTGAGATCACACATTTCCAAGAATCGATCTCCTAAAAGTACTGGACAATTTTGGGAGCAAATCACCAGCTGGTGTCAACTGACGGAGCTACAGGAGCATCATGGTAATGGCACTGCTTTATATTTGCTGAGGATCTTCCTCATAATTTAATGTACGTCAACATGGATCAATATAACTGGTGTCACCACTGTGCATAATAATCACTCTGAGTAGCTGCATAGTCTTGATTCTGTGTTACGGACAGATGGGCTAAAGGAAAGGCTGGATGTGTTCATGGAAAATAAATCCTTCAAAAGTTGTTAAATGCAAAGATACCACCTCTGGCTCAGGAAGTCTCTGAGCCTAAAACTTGGAGTGTGAAAAAGCCCCTGGAGAAGTGTCACTAAAGGCTTGGTCTATTCTTATACTCATCTCTAAGCACTGGCTTTAAGCTACTGGTGGAAAAGGACGTTAAACTGTATGACAATCTTTAGAAGACATGTATTTGAAGGAATCCTATGGTAATGAAGTCCCATTATGCTTCCACTCAAAATAAGGAAATTATGAGGCTTTGTATTAAAAAAAAAAATTAAAAAAATAAAGTATTACTTGTTTCCTTAAGAATTTCACATTACTGGCTACTTTACTATATGCCAAAATGTGACTTTGACATAGACTGTCCAAGAACCGTATTTTTTCTCACCGTATATATAGGACACTCCAACAAGCTCGAAGATGGCAATGATGACAAGAGAATAAGAAGCTGCGTAAGTGTCCACAAGCTGTAACATATACATTCCACCCTACAGAAAAAAGGATAAAAGAGCCATTAGTTGTGGTACGTAGCTGGTGTCTCTCTTCATACGTGTCACCACTCCAACTGGCGTTAAGGCAGGCAAAAATGGACAGGAGCAGGACCCGGACCCAGGATGCTCTATCCCAGTAAGCATCCACACATTGACAGGCTCATGCCACACTATAGTTTCTTCCTTGCGGCTGAACGGGTATCAAATCCAACAAGGAAAGAAAGCAGAAGCCACACCTGAGTCTGGTAGCTAACACACCTTGGGAAGACACTGGTTTTGGTCCTTTCGTATTAAGAACTGAACCGCAGCGAGACCATCCACCAGGAGAGTCTCTAACCACTCAATACTACGGCAAAAGCAAAATCACCATTGAAACCAGAAATCCTGTAATAGTGAATCCAGTTCACCTCTTTGGAAAGGACACCATGCCCTATCTCCAGGGCAGAGGATAAGCAGCGTAATTCATTCCATCCTGGGCTTTGGAACAGCAAAGTTGGGCTGATAGGTGATGAGGTGAGAGGAAAGAAAGAAAAAGGGGAGAAAAGGATGAATAAAATAGTAAAATAGGTTTTGTGCACCTCCTCTTGCAATTGCCGAGACTTTATAACGCTGGAGGAATTGGTGGACAAAAGACACCGAAGACTGTCATAGGTAGATGAGAATTTCGTTATTTGCCAAGACTGTCAGTATATATCTAGTCTGGGAGGGAAGGCACCCAAAACTGCTGTGCTTGTTTATATGACATACAAACATTTCCCCCTCTCCCCCCTTAAATGAATACCTAAATTATGTGATTGCTTTGGAGATGTTTGGCTAGGGATAAATTTTAAAAGTCTGATTCTCAGAAAAGATTTGAACAGCAAAGTCTTTCACTAAATCTCAGCCAGAGCATCCATTTAAAAAAAAAAAAAAAAAAAAAAAAGGCTTCCAGACTCACTTGATGCCTTTGCGCATGCGGCAGAATTCAGCTTCATCTTTTGCAACTTGCACGGAGGAGAACGGCCACCAGAGGGGGATTGGGGACAGACAGTGATGCTTAAGGACAATATTATTACCTGAGTGATCATAGGAAATCCCATGATGAAAAAGGAGACGCAGCACCCAAGAGTGAACAGTGCCTTGTGCGTACGTAAGTATTTGGGGAACTCATCCGAAACGGAGGTCACTATGGTCTCAATAGTGGCAAACTGAAAGACAAAAATAAAAGGATTCATTTCAGTGCACACAATGTACGCAACGTGATCCAGCTGGATATAATAGTATATAAGAGAGTATTTTGAATCCTAGATGTTAAGTGCTCAGGCCCAAACGCCAAAGCTTCACCCAAATTATTTCAGCATCGACGGCCTTACTTCATTCCTCTTTTTGGAAAGCGGTTCACTGACCACATGGAAAATAGTGATTAATCTCGTGGTCCTCCAAACAAACAAACAGGAAAAGCAAGGGGCAAAGAATAGGAAACAAAAGCAGTTTACCATAGTGTCCAATCCAAGCGTCAGAAGCATCAAAAAGAATATTATAGCCCAGAAGGGAGAGAGTGGAAGCCTAGTTAAGGCTTCTGGGTAAACCACGAAAGCAATTCCAGGACCTAAAAGCAAGAAAAAGGAAAGCTGTGATATCCTGCATCACGTTAACATTGTTGACTGTATGGAAAAGAGGCGAAAAGTCATGTTTCACAGTCTAATACAATATTACTTTGCCCGATAAAAGTAAAAAAGATCCAATTCAGTCTCTCCTATTTACAGAAAGATTTAACCATTGCAGAATTTAGCCTCACATGATTAATTCCTGTTTTGGCTCTACATTTCAAAACACTCACACGCTCCTACTTTCCAAGCTGCAGAATACATATTTAACCAGTATATTAATATACGAATCCAAATAGGAAAAAATAAATAAAAATCGCATACTGCAGCTCTGTTTCTTTCCTGCTCTGTGATCAAATTCCTGCCACTGTTGTGCCAATGAGCAACCCAACCTCAGACCAACCTAGCAATCACCCACACCTCAGCACTACAAGGATGAGCGGAAAAGTAAATACTCTTTAACTCATCAGCACACAGTCAACTGAGGAGAGAACACGACAGATGCACAAAGCTGATATCAGACACAAGGTAGTAACTACCGTGTATCTAAAAAAATCCACAAGAAATTCTGAAATAATGCACAGCAGAAAAAGCAAAGACATGAGGGGTCTTTTAGAGCCTTAACTGGGAATTTTCCTTTCTCTCTTGGTTTGATAACTTGGGCTATAATTTTTATTGACTGTCAAGAAAAATTATTTCTGCAAATACGTTTAGATTTGCCTGGGAGAAAAGGCTGCAGGAATGTGGCGGTAACATTACAGTAGATGGCACTTCATCTCTATTTATCCCAGCTAAAGGAATGCCCATTTCAAACGCTCTGAAGGATGTTTCCTGTCAGGCAAAATAGAAATGAGAGCCAAGCTGCGCTGATGCCACGACCTGTGCCACGAGAAGGAGCTCCAAACTCACTCTGTCCCGGCCCATTTCTAATCTAGGTTATTGCATCCCATTTCCTACAGCTCCCCGCCCTGTTTCTGGTCAAGAGAGAACTGCTGCTGTCTCACGTATTGAGAAAAACACGGTTTCAGCAGCACGCGACATAATCTCCGCAGGCAACTTGTGAAGTGTTTGGAGCTCCTTCTGAACAAAAGACAAATATGAAAGTTAATAACACAGTAAAAAAAGAAAAAAACAACACTGCACATGACTCAGTAAGCATTGCTGCCTTTAAAATGTGCTGCAGAAAAAGGGCTTTTTGGAATAGGAAGGTGCAAGTAGAACTACTACGTATTCATGAAGACGAACTTTCATCTCTCGATTAAATATTTCTTCTTGACTATTAGAGATAAGAGCTCTGTTTGCACTAGCTTCCTCCATATAGAAGTTTAATTAAGTGTGGGAATAATGAGTTCCTATTAATCTCATTTTTAGGAAAAGCTTAATTATGGAATAGAAAAGTGCACATCTCTCCTTCTGGGCTCTTCATAACTTTCCAAGGTGTCACATGCCAGGCAGCATCCAGGCGCAGGTGAACAGTCCCAGGGAGGCTGGCTCCCAGCCTCTCCATCTTGGGCGATTTAGGGGGATATGACCTGTTTCTAAAGGGCTATTAAAGCCAGGAGAACTCCAACGGTTTCATGTGTGTTGAAACAAAAAAAGTGAAATGACCTTGAACTTTCATTTTGCTACAATTTTTCAGCTGCGCTATATTCTTAATCAAACTGGAGGAGCAGAATGAAAAGAGATTTTCCCAGCTTTCCCTCCATGAAAAGTGTTTGATTTGCTCATCAGATACATGAGTTTCTCCTGAAAGGAAAATTCTAAATGAAAAGAAAATACTATGTATTTCAGATTAATATTTTAGGAGCAAAAAAGGAAAAAAAAACATCCCTTCTTGTTTCAATTACCAATTTCATTCAAGGTTTTAAAAACCTGAAGGGAGACCATCATCATTTTTGCGGTTGTCTCCTTCACTGCAAAAAGAAATACAACTTCAGAATAAGAAAAAAGGAGGCATCCACAAGGGCTGCCTCTTTTCCTCACTTGCCGAGTCTGCTTTTTAATTCTGTTAATTCAACGTGTGAACTCAGTCTGCAGTTATCCCTCATCTTCACTCTTTTCCTACTGCACAGTTGTCTTCTCATATGGGACTAAGTTTTGTTTCCCCTATCATGGAGAGCAGTGAAGCCTCACCCTCGTGAAATAGTGTTAAATGACCTAAATGGGCTCCTGCAAATGACCCGACAGCCCTACAATAAGATTGTCTCACGACAGCTTTTCTCACACCCCCCTGAACAGCTGCTGAAACAGCTGGGCACAGAGACCTCCAGCCTGTGACGCGTCACTCACTCAAAGACCACCAACAAGCACTCAACAGAAAAGGGGTTGTGATCCCCTGTGCTCAATATTGGGCCATCTCCATGGAGATGAAACAACTGAACCAAGTGTTTCCTCCACCATCGCTAACAGCTACGTCTCTCTATCCCCTCTCTCTCCATCCCTTCGGAGCTTCCACAGCAGCTTCACTCAAGCACGGCTACTTTGAGTAGGATTTGAATTTAACTCCTTCAATAGTTTCTGTAACCGCAGTGAGGTTTAGATCTCTGGGTCGGGTTTGTTTTAGGTTTTTTTGTCATTTGTTTCAGGTTGGAGATAAAATAGAAAGACTGATAGAAACACTACTCCTAAAACACCTGCCCTCATAGAGAGGTTTTCAAACATAAAGGTCTAATCCAGCCAGAAAATAGGGATGGCAATGAAACTCTTCTCTTCCCACTTGATTGACTGGCAAACCAAAAAGAAGATAGGAGACACTGCAGACTGAATTGACATTACATTAGCTGGCAAGCGCAGTATCCCCTACTACTTGACAGGGACTAAGACACAGACCTGTTGGAGAGGGTCCAGAGAGAGCCACAAAGATGATCTGAGGGCTGGAGCACCTCTCCTACAAAGACAGGCTGAGAGAGTTGGGGTTGTTCAGCCTGGAGAAGAGAAGGCTCCGGGGAGACCTTACTGCAGCTTTTCAGTACTTAAACCGGACTTAAGAGAAAAATAGGGGCAGACTTTTTAGCAGGGCCTGTTGCGATAGGACAAGAGGTAATGGCTTTAAACTAAGAGAGGGAAGATTCAGACCAGATATAAGGAAGACATTTTTTACGATAAGGGTGGTGAAGCACTGGGACAAGTTGCCGAGAAAGGTGGTAGATGCCCCATCCCCTTCAAGGTCAGGTTGGACGGGGCTCTGAGCAACCCAATGTAGTTGAAGGTGTCCCTGCTCATTGCAGGGAGGGGTGGACTAGATAACCTTTAAAGGTTCCTTCCAATTCAGACCATTCTGTGATTCTACCTGCTATCAAGAAACAGTTTGCCAGCTGACCATCTGATGAAGTTCTCCTCTTGGACCCTCTTGCTGAATCCGCAGCCCAATTAGCAGCCCATCCCACCACGGGTCAAGTGGTGCAAGCCCCAGACTAACTCCCTGTGGCTGAACTGCAGCTCACAAGCTTCCCCTCATCTCATCATCTGGGCTGCCATGCACCATCTGAAGAAGGTGCAGGAACTGCAGGTGACCCGGCACCTTTATTTGCATCTCTGAGCTCAGCAGTACCGCAACGTCTGTGGAATTACCCACATTTCAGTTTACAGAGAAGAAATAAGCAAAAGGAAACTAAGAGCCCCTTTTTTTTTTCTCCTTAGCCAGCAGCAACATCTTGTTCCCTCTGTTCTCCTTTCACCTTTAGTAGCTGGTTTCTAATACACAATTAGAAATATTAGTGTTCTGAGAAAGGTGTCTTTCAAGAAAAAGTAAAGAATGCTTCACTGCCTCTTGTTCCTACAATGACAGGATTTCTGTGTCCCCAGCTCACGTTGTCTGTTTTGCATTTAGCTCCTGCAACATTGTTAAATGCAGATTAATCCTAATACCCAATTTATCCAGAATGACCTATGAATATTTCCATACAGAAACTATGGGAAGTTGTCTTCATGTCTACCCCTTATTGTCAACTCACTGCCATGATTTCTGAATCCTGATGCTCACTCAGTCAGGTACCTTAGGCTAGATGTAGCACCTCATAACATTGAATTTTATCCACACAACAAACCTGTCAGAAAAATGTTCGGTGCCTTCACATTAACGCAGACAGTGAGACACGTCATGTATAGAAGCCACAAATATGTAACATTCATTTTTTTGAACTCCTCAGTCCTTCTCCTGTTCAGAGCCTCTCCTTGCTCTGCGCTATCCCAGGCTGAAGGGGAGAGCATTGGGAACCATCCCCACGGCTCACGGGGAAGATATTAATCACTTCAGTGCTTGGAAATGACCATCTCTGTGCTGAAAGCTGATACAATACACTGAGCATCCTCATGTGCTCACAGAAACAGCTATGGTAGGAGAACTGTAAATATGTATACAAGTTATTACAAAGTAATTAAAAATTTGCCTTTTTAACACAGTTCAAAATTATCTTAAAGATCTGGGGGATGGTTGGCGTAGAGGCGAAGTGCTGCACATTTCCAAGGAAATGTAGGACTAGAGTAACGTAACAATTATCCCTCTACAATCCCATCAGATTTTTGCCACCTTTTAACCTTCCCTGAATCTTAACCCAAAAGCTCCTCCCTTCCTATCTCCCGCTACTTCACACTTGTCACACATGACAGCACCAATTCTTCCATCAGTCACGCTCTTCTCACATTCAGCTCTACCAGTTAAGACCTTGCAGATGCCCATTTGTAACCATCTCATTTCACTAACCAAGATCATCTCATCAGTCCTTCAGAATTTTTTACTTCCCCATGGAGGCAGATCCATACTCCTCACAGTTCAGAAGCTCAATCCACCTCTCAAGCAACATTTCTCCCACCCCCAACATCATGAAGCCCACCATCCTCTCACCCAAAATTCCCACCACTGGGGGCAACTTTTACCTTGGAGGACCTGACAAGGCAGCAGCAGATGCAAATGAGAAGGCCGGTGATCGCTTAGGCTACGTGAAGGAGACATCTCACCCTACCCCCCCATCAGTTATTTACAGAAAGATTTGAAATGAGTCTCAGCTTGATTCTTTCTCTTACCAAATGAGTGAGAAGGAAGCTTCAAGTAATATCTTGACTTCCCAGTGTACCTTCTCCAATACAGAAATGCCTACAAGTAGTTTACCAATCCGCTCCAGTTTGAAGCTGTCATTCATAGAATTGTCTAGGTTGGAAGAGACCCTTAGGATCATCGAGTCCAACCATCTACCCTACTCTACAAAGTTCTCCCCTACACCATATCCCCCAACACCACATCTAAACGGCTCTTAAACACATCCAGGGATGGTGACTCAACCCCCTCCCTCGGCAGCCTATTCCAATGCCCGACACCTTTCTGTGAAAAATTCTTTCCTAATGTTCAGTCTAAATGTTCCCACCCAATGTTCCCACCTCCAATGTCAATGTCATTGTTAATAATAGAGCTGAAGTTGCCACCAAGTGCCTGTCTAAGTATCAAAACCGCAGCATACTCTACCTTGGTCTGCCACAGCTTCGATATTCACTTTGAGCTCATTTGCCATGAAGCCAATAACTGAGAAGATGACAAAGCCTGCAAATATACTTGTGGCACTGTTGGTACACGTGACTATCAATGTGTCCCTGAAAAGAAAAAAAAACACAAACAAACAAGAAGCCACATCACCTTGATGCAATACATGCAAGGGGAGGTTTTGTACACTTTTCAGGGGTCTCTCTCGTGAGGGCACACATGCTGTGGGAACGCTGATGAAGGCACACTTTTACACTTATCAGGTACGTCTGATGCTGACCAGACTTGACAGAAGTCTTCACGACACCACCGGGAATCAGCTGTGCAAGTTTCCATCACCCACGTGCCACGCAGGAAGCCGCAGAAGCATACGCACTTCTGCTCTTGGCCTCTCCAAAGAAGGTACCAAGGTGACGTGATTCGTAAAGCAGCATTTTACTCTTCACCTGGTGTGGATATCTGCTCACGGTATTACATATGGACTAAACACCACCGTGCAGGTAAAGGGGATTTTTGTCCTGTGTCTGTCTTTGTTTATACACAAAATATCAGAGTTGAGCTCGCTGTACCTCGTAGCCCTCACTTCTATGCCTGCCTGTCTGTAGAGGGTTCCCTGGTACAATTTGCCGTTGTTGTTGTTAAGGGAATCTGAAGAAATCCATACCTGAGTGTCATACCATACTGGGTGAGTACATGTGACTTGACAGGAAACCAGCCCTCATGATCCCCATCCATAACCATTACCTTTTTGACAGAATTTTCATTTTTAGTTCACAATATCTGTGTCCAGAAGACTTCCCCTTAAACTACCACAACTCAGAACAAACAAGTCACTTACCTTAAATGTGTTGGTTTGGGGTTTTTTTATTTTGGGGGGTTTGGGGTTTTTTTGTTGTTGTTGTTGGTTTTTTTTTTAAGTTGGCTGGAATTGCTTATTCCTACTGCTATTTGTCTGTCAGGAACAGAACAAAATACAACCTGAAAAGCTGTCAAGAATCTCACTGAGCTGGCAAACTTCTGGTATCTCTAACAGAGCATCTCTTAACAGGAATGATTAGGTTAATTCTTTAGGTCTACAGAAAAAAAATAAAGACAGTGTTCTGTTTGGAATCATCATGTGTTAATCTGCTTCCAAAACCCAGATAAGTTTTAAGTAAAAAATATTTTAAGTATGCATTATGAAGTGAATTCATATAAATTTACTGCAACTACAGATTATTTAATAATGTTTAAAATTAATATGTAACCGAAACCTACAATTTTATCTGCACTGCTAGAATGCAATGAATATAAAAATTGGAAGAGAAAACAGTCATGTTTCATTTCAGTATTCAAGATGTGTTGTAAAATTAAAAAGATTAGAAGTAACTAAGCTTTTCTAATTATTTCTGCTTTGGTCTCCCACATCCCTCTCTAGCATAAGTAAAGCACGTATTTAGTATTAGACCTGTAAGATTTTTATACTTCAGTTACCATGTATTTAATTCAAAATTTTCATTAACATTTTCCAAATGCCAAAAAACATTGCTAAATTAATGCAGAAAGTTAGCATTATGTCTGTCCCATTTTTTTGCCCTGATATTCTGAATGTATTCATTCATCAACAACAAAAATATAAAAATAAAAATCAAAGCCCGGGACAAGCATTTTCAAAAATAGGGCCCAAAGGACTGCTGGGTGGGAGTTACTGAGTACGCAACACTGTTACTTATTCATCTATATTTTAGGATAATTATATTAAATTTATTTTGAACAGCAGTAGGAAATGGCTTTGAAATTCCTTTTTAAAAATCCCGATCCACGTTTCTTTTTGAAGGTAAGTTTTTTGTGCGCAGTTCTTAGAAGTTGCAGGATATGGGAGCTGAAATCCCAAGGAGCGTGTGCTTTACACTCTTGATTTGGGCACAATTTGAAGCGTTCCCTTGGGACAGTCCCTGCGCGTGCTGTTGGCTGCGCTGAACCAGCACCTCTGATTCTGCAGGAATCAGTAAGGGTTTGCTTCGGTAGAAACAAGATTGGCTTTAAAGACAATAAAAAAGCAGTGAGGCATCCTACTAATGACACTTGCTTCTGTTTTTTCCACCAACAGACATTTGTCTGGCACGCATTTTTATGAAAAGCTATACTGTGCCACCAGGACGATGACCTTTTCCTTGCAAAAAATCACTTCCAGTGATTTCAAATAAAAGTGCTTTTTAAGTTTCACAACTTGAAATAACTTTGTACAGGTAAAAACCAGGCTAAGAGTGATCGGAAACAACAATAAAATTTAGGAGAAACAATAATTGCATATACGGAAACTGCACGTTCAACTCATGCGTGTCTCACGAGGGCAAACTTCAGCCCATTCTACACATGGTTTGCTCTTCAGCAGCGTTTCATACCACTGCACACTGCTCCTGACAGCCTCCCAGCTTGTCTTTCAGCTTCCAACTCCTGATTCTGAAAACAAAGAGCCAATTGGGACTATAATAAGCCTAAGGCTCGTCTTGGGATGAGGAGAGTAGGACCTGGGGAGAAGATACAATAAGCAAAACCAAAAAAGGTTAAAGAAACAAAACAAATAAACAAACA